GGGGGGGGGGGGCATGAGGGTGCACTATCAACTTTAGCTCTAAATTAGCCAATCTTTAGTTTGGGTTTTTCCCCCCTTCTCGAACACAGAAGTACCATATAGTATGTATCATGCAGGGACGTTATTTGTTAGTCAGTCAAAAGCCACTGCCTTACATGTGGTAACACTGAAGCGTTAAGAGGCAGTACTAGGAAGTCATGATACGTACCTCTGTCATCCACAATAAGTTTGTCCATGCCCCGGGGGCCAAGGGTGGTGCGAACAGCTTCTGCGATAACCTGGCAAGCACTGATGTTACTGAGAAGCTGAGGAATTCCTTGGGAGGTATCTGTGCCTTCCTTCAACAAGATAACTGGTGTGGGCTGAAAAGACAACATACGTTAGCCAATGCCTTGCTCAGATTTTAATAGGCCAACTAGTCACCCTAAAAATAACTGTGCATATCAATATTTTAACCTTTCTATGTCAGCTAATTAGTATTATTCAAAAAATCATTTTTCCTGATGGGAACAATTTAGGAAATCATTTCATTGTATTTGAGTGTCACTGCTTGCAATTATAAAAAATAAATAAATTAATTAATGGAGATATCCCATCTCCTAGAACTGGAAGGGACCTTGAAAGGTCATTGAGTCCAGCCCCCTGCCTTTACTAGCAGGACCAAGTACTGATTTTGCCCCAGATCCCTAAGTGGCCCCCCTCAAGGATTGAACTCACAACCCTGGGTTTAGCAGGCCAATGCTCAAACCACTGAGCTATCCCTTTCCCCCTTCCATATCTAAGGCTGAAACCAAAGTCTACCCCTGCCTTAGGCTCTATAAATCTGAAGATTGGAGGTCTTAGAACTAAGGATTTCCATATTTTTCAGCTGTTTGGGGTTTTTCTTCTGAATTTAATCTTGACCTTGAATTTCTTGAGTTTCTAATGCATGTAGTTCACTACGCTTGTAAGCAGTTTTTGGTTTTTTAACCTTTACATTACTAAGCTGGATTCAACCTTAATTTAGATTTGTCTGAAAACTACAACTAACATGAAGGATAACCAAGACTCAGGGAGGATCCATTTCCTTCTAGAATACAACCATCATTCAACAAATGCAGGTTAATGAGCAGATCCCGTTAACGTTCAATCTGGTTACCTGCCGTGGATACGTTCTGTAACCCTCCTCAGAGGCGGAATTCCTGGCCCCTCCCCCTTCAACAGCATGAAGCACAATGAAATGAATTCCCTCCAGCTTCAACTCTGCACTAGGCACACAGTATCCATACTACTGCAACAGCTGTCAGCAGTGCTGAAATGCTAGGCAGGTAGCGCGGATGGGCAAAGGCATTTCTACCTCTTTGTCACGTAAACTTGTTGAGAGATTTTTCATGACGCCGTGGTATGAACACCTGAGCCCCTGTCTACTCTTGCATTGCTGCTGCCACCAGCACAGCTGTATCCATTGTTGGTGGTAACCGAAATGCAGATAATGAGGCCTGATCGACACAAGAAAATTAGGGCATAACAACATCACTCAGGGATGTGAAAAATCCACACTGGAGGGGCTTAGTTAAGCCAACTGAGTCCCTGTGTGGAAAGCACTAGGTCAACAGAAGAATTTTTCCATGGACCTAGCTACCACCTCTGGGGGAGGCGGATTACCTATGCTAATGGGAGAACCCCTAACATTGGCATAGGTAACGTCTACATGGGATCTACAAAAATGGTATGGGATAGGGAACAGCTTCCCTATGAGGAGAGATTAATAAGATTGGGACTTTTCAGCTTGGAAAAGAGACGACTAAGGGGGGGGGATATGATAGAGGTCTATAAAATCATGACCAATGTGGAGAAAGTAAATAAGGAAGTGTTATTTACTCCTTCTCAGAACACAAGAACTAGGGGTCACCAAATGAAATTAATAGGCAGCAGGTTTAAAACAAACAAAAGGAAGTATTTCTTCACACAACGCACAGTCAACCTGTGGAACTCTCTATCAAAGGACGTTGTGAAGGCCAAGACTATAACAGGGTTCAAAAAATAACTAGATATGTTCATGGAGGATAGGTCCATCAATGGCTATTAGCCGGGATGGGCAGGGATGGTGTCCCAACCTCTGTTTGCCAGGAGCTGGGAATGGGCAACAGGGGATGGATCACTTGATGATTCCCTGTTCTGTTCGTTCCCTCTGGGGCACCTGGCAATAGCCACTGTCGGAAGACGGGGACTCAGCTAGATGGACATTTGGTCTGATCCAATCAGGCTGTTCTTATGTTCTATGTTAATCCTTTTGTAACAGTCTCTGCCTGCACGTTCCTAGGGCTGCCTTAAGCTTAGCCAGGGCTAAGTGCCCTCCCCAGAGATGACAGGTCTGAGCTTTACAGTGCAGCCCCCCCCCGGTCTGAACAACTTGGGGACAGCAGGTGTCAGAATCAAAATGAGCCACGCCCATCTCCAATAGAACGGTGGGGCCCACAATGACTGCGGCTCCCAACATGCTCCGCCTTGCCCACAGCAGCCAAAGGACTACAGATCCCAGCATGCAATGGTTTGAGCAGCCATAGGGACAGGGTACCAGTTGTAATACACAGAGGCTTCCTTCATGTTCCCCGCCGTTTCGACCTACACACTACAATCCCCAGCATGCAATGCGCGGCTGGCTCCCCCAGCTCGGAAGCAAGGTCGCGCGCGTTGCCTGATGTGACTGGTAGTCCCTGCGAGGCCACCGTTCGCCCACCGTAACCTGGCTGTCCGGAGCCCCCAAGACCCCCCCCCTCTCAATGGGCTGCTCCAGGACCAGGCCGCAGAGCCCCTCGCCCTTACTGCCGCCGGGCTGTGCTGAGAGGCGGGACGGCGGCTCCGGATCCCCGCCGCTCCGGCTAGAGCTCGCCATCCCCCACAAATAACGGCTGATCACGGCCGGCCAGAGCCCGCCGGAGGCGGGGGAGCCGCCGTCGGGCCGGGAGGGCCTATCCCCGGGGCGGATGGCGGCGGATGGGCCGGGCCGCGCCGAT